ACTTCAGATACTTAGAGACTCTTGGCATGATTATCAAAAAACTGTGAAAAATCTTAAGAGAAATTATTTCTCTAATATCATTCAGTCAAACTGTCATAAGCCTCATGTGTTGTTTAAAGTTATTGACTCAGTTCTGAATGTCCCTCAGGTTGCCTGTTTTGAGTCTTCCCCCGCCCTTTGTCAAAAATTTTTATTCTTTTTTAATGATAAGGTTCTTTCTACCAGAGCTCAGATTTTACCTCCTGTTTACGATTTTTCTGTTTCTCGTCCCTGCTCTGCTGTCTTTGACCAGTTTGAGTGTGTGTCCTTATCTTATTGTCAGGAGATTGTTGGGCGACTGAATCCCTCTGGTTCCCCAAATGATGCTGTTCCTCCTCGTTTTTTAAAGGAAATCTTTCCAGTTGTGGGGCCATTTGTTCTCTCCATTATTAATAGCAGTTTATCCTCTGGCCTGGTTCCAAAGATGTTTAAACATGCCGTGGTGCGGCCGCTGATTAAGAGACCTGGTCTGGATCCCACAGTGTTCTCAAATTTTAGGCCCATCTCCAATTTGCCCTTTCTCTCCAAAGTCCTTGAAAAGATAGTTTATGCTCAGTTACTGGCTTTCTTAGATGAGCACAATATTCTTGAGACTTTTCAATCAGGGTTTAAAACCCAGCATAGTACTGAGTCAGCCTTGGTGAAAGTCTTAAATGACATTTTTCTTGCTACTGACTCAGGGAATTGTGTGGTCCTAGTGCTCTTAGATTTGACTGCTGCTTTTGACACAGTGGACCACAATATCCTTATTTCTCGTTTGGAGCACTGGGTGGGTATCCGGGGGATAGCTTTGGAATGGTTTCGATCTTATCTTAAGGATAGATCCTTCTGTGTGAAACTAGGAGATGCTGTATCTTCCTCTGAGCCCCTTGTGTATGGGGTACCACAAGGCTCGGTCCTTGGATCCCTTCTTTTTTCCCTTTACCTTCTCCCACTTGGTACTATACTCAGGAATCACAGTGTTTCCTTTCATTTTTATGCGGATGATTGCCAGCTTTACCTACCGGTTAATAAGATGAGCTCTTCCGTTAGCACACTTCTTGAATGTCTGGATGACATTAAATCTTGGCTTGCTTTTAACTTTTTAAAGCTGAATGAGGATAAGACTGAGGTGATTGTATTCGGTGATTCTGTTGGTTCACCATCTGTTGACTTGGGCTCATTGGCTCATTATAATCAAAAGAATATTTTAAATTTAGGTATTAAGATGGATCCAGATTTAAGATTCGACAGCCAAATTGCAGCTGTCATTAAATCTAGTTTCTTTCACCTCAGACAGTTGGCTAAAGTAAAAGCATTTGTCTCTAGACAGCATTTTGAGACGCTTATTCATGCTTTCATTACTTCCCGTTTGGACTATTGTAACTCATTGTATCTTGGGGTCGGTGAGTCTTCTATCAATCGCCTCCAGATGGTCCAAAATGCAGCAGCGCGTCTTTTAACAGGTACAAGGAAATATGAACATATCTCTCCAGTTTTGGCCTCCCTACACTGGTTACCTGTCCATTTTCGGGTCCATTACAAAATTTTACTCTTTGTTTTTAAATCCCTTCATGGCTCTGCACCATCCTACTTAACTGATTTGCTTCATTGGCATACACCCACACGCTCTCTGAGGTCAGCAAATCAGTTTCTCTTGAGTGTCCCAAGAACGAAGCGTAAGCTTAGAGGCGATCGAGCCTTCGCAGTTGCTGGTCCTAAACTCTGGAATGATTTACCACTGTCCATTAGACAAGCCTCTACCCTGTCTGTTTTTAAGTCTCTTTTAAAAACTCATTTTCCCTGGCATTTTGATATTTTTGTGTTGATTTTAGTCATTTGATTGATTATATTTTATATTGTTGTTTGTGGTTTATAATTTATATTGTTTTATTGCAACGTACAGCACTTTGGTCCACTCTGGTTGTTTTTAGTGCTTTATAAATAAAGTTGGTATGGTATGGTATGGTATCTTTGAGGAAGGATTTTCAGAGACACAATGAAAACTGAAACTGATTTTGGCCAGTAGTTGAGGAAAAAACTGACCGTCCCTATTTAAAGTCCAATAAATATCCAGTGAATGCTGTATTTGTTCAATCAGCTGTTGGAATAGTTCATGCTGATGTCTCGGTCCTCTTCTCAAGCACTATATCCACAGAATGGGAGTGTATCAGTCAGTATTAAAGAAGATAGGATACCTTTTACATTTTAATCAGGCTTATTTATACCAGCCTTCATTTCTTCTGTGTAGTTGAGTGGACTTGGATTCAGATGTTTCAGTCCTCATACATCAGATTTGCTGGTGCGGTGAGGTTGACAGCTGGTGAGGCACTGACTCTTTTACAGTCAGATTTACAAATACAAATGAACCGTTAACAAATTGTCTGTTAACAAACAATGCGTTGTGTTTTATATCTCATATCAACATTCTTCACACAAACGTGACCCATATTTAATTTGAGGTTAAAATTTATTCCAATTGAGCTTATTTCTAACTAGAAATAATAAAAGTTTATGGTCTTACCTTTACCTCAGCTGGTATGTATTACAAACCCTTTTACCGTTCGAATCCAATATTAAAACAAATGTTTTCAATAAAGAAGATCCTTCTGGACAAAAATGTCCAGACTGTCAAAAATGTTTTGATTGAAAGTCCAGATTTGCGAATTTTCTCAGCTTGGAAATGTAATCTTCCATTTTGATAAGGCGGATTGTAAAGGAAATATAAACAAGCACGAAGAAGATTGTAGGTAGCGCAAGAATCTGTGGG